CCCCACTGGTCAGCCTTACAGACAGGCAGTGGTAACACACACCCTTAATCCCAGTAGTCACACTGGTCTGCCATAGAAACCAGCCCTTAATCCCAGCCCTAGAGAGGATTATAAAATGGGAGGAGACAGCTCTCAGTCTCATTCTGAGGTTCCTGGAGGCAGGATCACCATTTCGGATTGAGGTAGAGGTAAGAGCTAGTGGCAGGCTGTTTTGCCTTTTGGACCTTCAGGTTGAACTCCAGTTTCTGTCTCTGAGTTTTTATTAGTTGCACTTCATTTTGGTTAATTAACTTTATTCTTTGACAATTTCATGTATGCATGTAGTGCATTTGATCACACCCTGCCCCTCTTTCATCCTGCTCCTGCTCCCTGCCCGTCCCTCCGCTTCCACTTTCAGGTCCTCTCATTTTGTGGTTGTCTCGTGAGCCACTGAGTTTAATCAAGGTTGCCCACATGAAGGTTGAGCATGGGTTTGGAGCTATGGACTTGAGCACAGTGTACTCAGTAGTAAGTGACATCACCGAAGACTCCTCTTCCCCTCAGCCACCTCAGCAGCTGACTGTTCCCCCACGTCTACATCCCCAACCCATGCCTGAGTGTTGATAGGCCCAGGCCTGGGAGAGCCCTGTGTAGACAGCTGCTGAGAGTTAATGGGGGCAGTGGACCTGTCATGCCCAGAAAATAGCATTTCACAGCCCTCTCTCCTATCATCTGCTGTAAAAACCGATGGTCCTGTAGCGACTGCACAACAGGGCCAGATGCGTGAGCCGGGGACCAGGCTTGAGACTTAAACATACAAAGACACACAGAGAGACGGAGACATGGGTCACTCTTGATACAAGAGTACCAAGTTTATTGTGCTCAGGGGCAGTTTATACAGGGCTCTGGCCGCGCCCCAGCTCTCGGGATCTTTCAGCTGCAGGCCCACTGACCTGCCATCAAGGTCTCGTGCTCAGAGCAGCTGCAAGCATAGGGAAAACAAGATGCTCACAGGGAATTCAGGGTGCGGGGGTCCACAGCCCCCAGTAGCTCCCAACAGTCTGGCTCTTACATTCTTTCTGCTCCATCTCCCATTGTGTTCCCTGTGATAGGGGTGTCCCTTCTAAGGCCCAGCTTTCAGTCGTCACTGTGTCTGTCACTGATTAGTTATGAGTCTTTGCCTGGCACATTCCCCACATCAGAGAAACTTCTTTCCCTGAGGCTGAGACCAGCACTAATCTATGGGTAAATATTTAGAAGGAGGTCTGGCAATGTGTCTGTTTAACAAGACAAGGTAGGTTCTTCGACAAGGCCTATAATCTCCCCAGCCACAGGCTTTTGATTAGCTTTACAGTACTAGACATGAATTTCCTCCTGCGGGCCAGATAGTGGTTGGTTACCTTCACAGCTGTATCTCTGTTGTGTTGGGGAGCACATATTTTTCTGCAGGTCTGTGTTGTCACCTCCAGGGTCCATGGCTGGGTAGGACCATTGATGACTTCTCCCCTCCCCACAGCTGTGTGTATTGTGCTTTCTGGCGCTATGTAAAGCTATCCAGCGGCGGGGGGGGGGGGGGGGGAATCTCCAGGTCAGTTGCAGCTTGGTTTTTCTGTGTCCTGCACACAAAAGTGGCTTATCTTCAGCAACAGAACTCTCCCATGTAGTTCTGGTGGGCAGCATCAGCAACGGGAACAGCCTGTGTTGTTTGGGGAGCCTCTGGAGTTTCCCTGGCCAACAACTCATAGGAGGTGTCCCACACCTACGCTGAGGGTTCCAGCATCTTCGAGAGTGACAGTCATTCGGTGCTTCCCACTGAAAAGTGGAACATTTGAAAATGGGCTTGCAACTTTGATCTTCCTGGACAAGAGTGTCCTGGCATGAGAAAGTGCTTGCTGATAAAGACGGTGGAATTTTAATGGCATGCTAATGAATACAGCAAACCTTGGGGTGTGGATGCTTTTGTTCTCAGACCCACTTTTTGAGCTCTTCCTTCTGAATTCTGGGAAAAAGCCTCATTAAGAAAGAGAATGCCCCTGTCAGGGGTGGGGGGTGTCCATCTATAGGCTCAGAAGGCAAAGGTGGGAGGATCGTGAGTTGGGGGGCCCACTAGATGACAGATATTGTAAGACTGTATCCCAAGCAAGCAGATAAACACAGCAACAAAGTAAAACAAGGAGCTGAAGAGACGGCTGGGTGGTGAAGAGCGGGCGTTACTCTCACAGAGGACCTGAGTTTGATTCCTCACACCTGTAGTGGCTTACAACCATCTGTAACTCCATTTCCTGGGTATCCAGGTCCTTCTTCTGACCTCTGGAGGCACCAGGCACGCATGTGGTACACATGCACACATGCAGGCAAAATAATCATATACATAAAATAAAGAATAAAATCTAAAGCAAATAAATAAGAAAATATTTTAAAATTAAGAAAGGTTTCAGGGGGCTGAAGAGCACTTGTTGCTCTTGCAGAGGATCTGGGTTTGGTTCTCAGTGGCTCACGGCCATTCGTTACTCTGGTTTTAGGGGACCCTTTTCTGGCTTCCAAGGGCACTGTACGCAAGTGGTGTACATACATGCAGGCGAAATACCCACATACATAAAATAAATACATCTAAAAATTGCTTTTAGAATTTTCATCCGTCTCCAAGCAGATTCTGTCTCAGAGGTCTTGTCTCCATCCTTCAGAGGAATCTCCATGCCCCACCTCCTCATGTCGTGAAGGGACACCCTCATCTCTCTAGGAGGAGCAGTAGGTTGGTCCCATTGGTGTAAAGTGGCAAGTGTGTTATTGGGGTAAATAATCACTTTCTGATTGGATTTGGGGAGAAGCCCATGGCTGAGGAGGTCAGAGGTCCTAGCGGGGAAGGGCTGCTATCTCGCTAAGTGGATATGATGCACCCATCTCCTTGCCTTCTAAGCAGTTATGGTTCTCCTTGTAGACTCGTAGTGTTGCCTGCTACATTGTTCCGAGGACTTCTTGTGGTGGGCAGTGGTAAGGGAAGAGATATGAAACTCCTGCTACATTGTTCCGAGAACTTCTTGTTGTGGTGGGCAGTGGTAAGGGACGAGATGTGAAACTCCAGAAACTGTGTCACCTGCTCCAGTGCTCAGAGAGCATCGGGGAAGAGAGAGCAGAAAGATGCTCAGAGCCAGAGGACGACTTGCAATAGTGTAGAATGTTGTCTTTCAGCGATGAGACAGCCATGGAGGGAGAAAGGGCGCACCATTCCTTAGGATTTGTGCAAGAGAGGGAGAGATGTTTTCTTTAGGGGGATAGCTGAAGTGGGGGGTAACCCTGTAAATAACTTCTCACCTACAGTTCTGTAGGCAACTCTGATGAAACTCATTGGTGAGAGAGAGACAGAGACACAAAGACACAGAAACACAGAGAGAAAAAAGACTTGGAAGTATAAGGGGTAGTCAGAAAGAGGAAGGGGTCCATGTGAGTAGGAGGGACAAGAGAGAATAATGGGAGTGAATGAGTAGAATCTACTATGTACTCGTATGAATGTTATAACCAGGTGTACTAGTGTGTTTAAGATGTGCTAATGCTGAGCCATATGTGAGACCACAGTGTGCTGGTGTGGGTGATTTGTACTTGTGGACTGGTGTGTGATCTATCTAGCCAGGACCCACCCAGACCTCACATTGGTCTAGTTCTTCACACACAGGTGCAGCTGGAGCCCTCCTGCTGACTTCAAGGAAGGGCCTCTCTCTAAGAAGAGGGCAGCCATGGGCAGGCACACTCTCCTCTCCTTGTCATTGGGGCGGGCAGGCACAGCTGACTATGCGGTGCTCTTCTTTCTCTTTTTTAAAAAAATTGGGACAAGTTCTTACTGTGTAGCTCAAGCTGGCCTCCAACTCACCAACCTCGCGCCCCCGTCCCCTGGAGTTCAGATGACAGCTGTACCTGATTCTGATAGGTTCTGACATATCATTCTGATTAAACCCTGGGACTGAGGCAGGAGAATAGAATAACATTTCCCCCAAGCTTCCGAGTCCCTGCGTCGCTTACCAGGGAAGCCCCATGCTTGGGAGAGTTGAGTTTCATCCTCCTGTCTCAGCTTCCCGAGTAGCTGAGACTACAGGCCACTGTGCCCGGCTTCCTCCAGCAACTGTCATAGATCCCATCACGTGACATTCTTCAAATGGTCTTTCTGTCTCTGGGTGGAAGGACCTAGAGCCCAGAGCAGACCCTGCTCAGTTGTTTGTCCTCCCGCTCCTCTGGCTTTTGTTTTCGTGAATCTGTAAGTCGCCCCCTTCCAATCCGGCACAACCTTTAAAACTTAATTAAAAACCTGTGGTGCACCATAGCATGTGTGTGGAGGTCTGAGAACGACTGCTTTTTAAAAATTTGTTTGTTTCTGATCTTTTGAGACAGGGTTTCTCTGCGTAGACCTGGCTGTCCCAAAACTCACTCCCTAGACCAGGCTGTCCTGGAACTCAGAATTCCACCTGCCTCTGCCTCCGAGTCATGGGATTAAAGGCATGGGCCATGACCGCCTGGCTTGAGAACAAGAGTCTTCCTTTTTCTTATGCAGGTCTGGGATATCAGGCTAAGGTTGTGATGCTTGTGCGCTAAGCACTTTTACCCACTGTGCCTTTCCGCTGGCCCCATTTATTAAGTGGTGCCGAAATTATGCACCGTGAGGTGCCATCTCTTACCAGCTGCGGCCTGACCTGTTGAGGGCTTTGTGGAGTCATCAATACGGTGAGTGCTTTGTTTCCCACTTCACTGTAGTCCCACAATACCTGGCAAGTCTTTGGTGAATTACTCTCAAATGAATGACAGGGTCTGAGCTACGGCCCCTCCACTCCACACTTCTGATGTTTGCTTGAGCATTCCCATGCCCAGTAGACTCCAGGGGCTGTTCGGTTAAGCAGCATAGAACAGGCTAATCCAGAGACTCATATTTCCCATGAGCTCCAGTGCCCTGAGTAACCCCAGAGGTTCATGCCCAAATGAGCAATGTGTGGATGCACGAGGAACAACTGAAATACACAGAGACAGTAACGACAGGATGCTTGCCAAACAAAAGATGATGGGATTTCTTTAACTCAGATAAAAAGCCCAGACCACAAAACAGGAAATGAACATGGGAAATTTTCATTTGCTTAGATTATGGTTTTAAAGGAAGCATGTTGAGCAAACTCAATTTATAGTTACCAGTTTTACATTTATAAAGTCGACATTACCTTTATTATATTTAATGTGATGTTAGGCACAATTGTATCATTCTACATGAGGTAAAGTTGATATAACTACCTTGTAGTTACATCCATGATTACTGTCAGGTTCACGACTGCGGGCTCCAAAGTGGTTCGTGACATTTATTATAATGATTTTTTTTTTTACTGTGCTAGTGTGAAAGGAACTTCTTCTCATGGTGATGGGCGCCCCACAATTTTTGTATCTCCCAGGAATATGCTTTCACATGGAGGGCTTACAGAACTATCAGGCAGGGCTGTTCCAAGGCCTCTCACTAGGCTTCAGGAGTTCCTAGTCTTTTAAAAATCTTTCCAAGTTATAATTCTTTGATGAAAGATATTCCATGATCCTCCTTCCTGGGTTGCTTAACAGGAGAGAGACCCAGCTCGACTTGTCATAGTACACCTCCTCTTTCCGCAGAGCCGCTCCCTTGATGATCTCCAGAGCACATTCCTCCTTGGGAGCAGCTTCGGCGTTGAGCACACCAGAGACTGCCTTTATGGCTGTTTCTGTGGGACCACAGAAAAGACTGGAGTTATTCGGGGTTAGCACAGCTTAGGTGATGGAGGCTCCTCGACCCCTAGCTATTAGGTACCATGTGCCCATGACTGAGCCCTCCAGGCACTCCAGGGGACGCCTGGTCAACTGGATATGCCAAGTGTGGGCAAAGGGTCAGTGCCCAGTGCGGCAGTGGAGATGACAGCTTGGGGGTCCAGATGCTCTTCTCTGGGTGCTTTGGTTGGGGTGGCACATTAACGTGGGGGGTGCAGAATGAGATGAAGGAGCTGGTGTAAAATGTAGATGTCAAAGGAGAATGTGGGGAGATCGTGACCCACCGCTTTCCAGACGGGAAGAGTGGGACCAAGCTTTGGCTCTGTCCCAGCCCTGACCACAGCTGCAGAGAGGGAGCTGGCAGGAATTATTCTGTCTTCCTCCGTGGTCATGCCCTTCAGGCACACCTTTCCTCCCTTCGTCTCTCCACGCTATCTGACTTCCAGTTCTGTCCTCACTACTTAATTACTTTTTTTTTTTTTTCTGACGAGGTCTCATATAGTCCAGGCTGACCTCGAACCTCAATATATAGTTGAGAATGACTCTGAATTTCTGACCCTCCTGGATCTACCTCCTGAGTGCCTGGATTACAGGTGTGTTCCACCGCACACAGTGATGCGGGGCTAGGAATCACACCCAGGGGCACACGAGTACTAGGCAAGCACTCTTAACAATGGAGCTCCAGCCCAGATCATCCATCACTCCTGAAGCAGACATTTCTCACAGTCCTAGATGCATGTTCTAGATAAGTGTGTAAATATCGAACTCACTGTTCCTGTAGGTACCTCACCTTTCCTGAATATCACGCATAGCCCAGAAATGAGTGCTGCAGATCCAGCACAATGTCACTGGGTTTTTTTTTTTAATCTAGTTTCTCCTTTATGCTCTGGGATTGTGTCCAGGAGCACACTCAGTACTAATTTCTCCATTTTTTTTCTTAGTCTGTGAAGGTTTTCTTTCTTTCTTTCTTTCTTTCTTTCTTTCTTTCTTTCTTTCTTTCTTTCTT